CTGTGAAGCCATCTGGTCCAGGGATTTTGTTTGTTGAGATATTTTTGATTACTGCTTCAATTTCACTAGTTGTCATCTGTCTATTCAGATTCTCTGACTTTCCTGATTTAGCTTTGGGAGTTTGTATGTTTCTAGGAAATTATCCATTTCACTTAGGTTGTCTAATTTTTTGGTATATAGGTTTTTATAATATTTTCTTATAATTCTTTGTGTCAGTTGTTATTTATCCTCTTTCATTTCTGATTTTATTTATTTGGGTCTTCTCTTTTTTTCTTGATGAGTCTGGTTGAAGGTTTGTCAGTTTTGTTTATCTTTTCAAAGAACCAGCTCATTGATCTTTTGTATCATTTTTTTAGATCCCATTTCATTTATTTCTGCTCTGATCTTTATTATTTCTTTCCTTCTACTCACTTTGGGCCTTGTTTGTTGTTCATTTTCAAGTTTCTTTAAGTGTAAAGTTAGATTATTTGAACCTTTTCTTGTTTCTTGAGATAGACCTGTAATGCTATGAATTTCACTCTCAGGACTGCTTTCCCTGTGTCCCACAAATTTTGGGTTGTTATGTTCTCATTTTCATTTGTTTCAAGGTATCTTTAGATGTCTTCTTGGATATCATTGTTGACCTATTCATTGTTTAACCCTTCAGAGGTCACAGCTGATCTGAGAGATATAAACAAACTATTTTCTTAAATATTGTTACATACATTGGGTGCAAAGCAGTCCTGCTTTAGGTTCAAGGTTGTGACTAGCCGCATGTTTGCATGTGATTAATGTTAGGCCATAATGTTTAAATTGTTACTTTGGTTATAATGTGTGTTTTGTTAGAGTGTGTGATATTTGATTATAAATTTTATCTAAGAGATACCACTTATCAAAATATTTTTGCAAGTGTTGTGAAAAGTATTTATGTCTTGAGCATAGCAATATGGATTGCAATGACTGTTACAAATGCTTTGCAAAGCCAACTATTGAAGATTCTGATTAGTTAATGTTAAAGATTTTTTCCTTGTATTTTTAGCAATATCCATGTTTCTGTTATTTGAAAAGAAAAATTTTTAATTTTTGTTTTTATATTTTTTGTTTAATAATTTCCTAGATTGTAACTGAAAATAAATAAAAATCACTTATTTTTACTATGTAAATATAATAAATAAAAATTTGCAGTTTTTAAATTTTTTCTCATTTCAGCACATACTAGTAAAGAATGTGTCTCTTGGATACACATGATCTATACTGTAATTTTTTAAAAGATTTTATTTATTTATCTTTAGAGGGGAAGGGAAGGAGAGAGGGAGAGAAATATCAATGTATTTCTCCTGGTTGCCTCCTGTGCACCCCTCTCTGGGAACTGGCCTACAACCCAGGCATGTGCCCTGACTGGGAATCGAACTGCGATCATTTGGTTCACAAGCCCGCGCTCAATCCACTGAGCTATACGCCAGCCAGGGCTTATATTGTAATTTTCTTGACTGTGAATTCCCCAGGGTTAATAACATGTTATTTAGCTTTCATGTCTGTGTATGTTTTTCAGTTTTCTTCTTGTGATTGACTTGTAGTTTCATAGCATTGTGGTCAGGCAAGATGTTTGATATGATTTCTCTTAAATTTATTGAGATTTGTGTTTTAACTATAGTCTATCCTCTAAAACATTCCATGTGCATTTGAAAAGTATGTATATTCTGCTTGTTTGGGATGAAATGCTCTGTAGATATTAATTAAATCTATTTAATCTAGTGTATCATTTAAGGTTGTCATGTCCTTATTGATTTTCTGTCTGGAAGATTTGTCCATTAATGTCAATGGGGTATTAAAATCCCCTGCTCTGACTGTATTTCTGTCAATCTCTCCCTTTATGTCTATCAAGATTTGCTTTATATATTTGATATATTTTTAAAAAACTATTTAAGTGAAGCCAGGACACTGAGCATCCTGGGACCCTGCTTCAACATGTCTGTACAGCCTCCTCCCTAAATGCAGTATGTCCATCCTCATTGTTCCCCGTGCCTTTGTCTGGTCTGCACATAAGGTCAAGTGGCTATGCCATCCCTTCGTGCTCTCCCTATGTCTGTGGTTCCCTCCCACAGCCTGCCAATCCACAAGCACTCAGAGTCAATGTCCCAAAGACCCTCGGGGGAAACTGAGGCACAGGATGGAGAGTGCTACCTATTTCTGAGAACCAGGAACCCTGTCTACAGTAGGTTGGGTCAATACTGAAGGTATTAAACCTATGGGGAAACCTAGGGTTCCTGATCTAGAGGTAGAACTTGGAGATTGCTTCCTCCTGGTTGAGGGATATGGTTGCTGCTGCAGAGATGGGCAAATGCAGGTTTCCATTTCTGGGGCTTGACCATGCATCTAGGAGTGGCCCTGGTACTAGGGGTGGCCCTGTGCCTGGGGTGTGGCCATCCCCTATCGTGTGCCCCTGAAGGCTCCTTCTCCATGCTGTGGAATGGACCATCAGTACACTGTAGAGCCCCTTTTGGTGTGCACCTGCCACTGGAGGCCCTGGGTATCACAGTCAACTGTGCCCAGTGTTTCCATGGGCAGAATATCACCACGTCTGTAGAAACCAGCTTGGCTTCTTTCCTACTTTGGGCCCAGGGGAACATCCTTCAAGTTGTGCTCCTTGACCACCACCTAGCATGTGCTGCTTACCAGGGCTTTGCTGGCCTGGCAGTGCTAGGCTGGGAAGAATGGTGTCCACACTGGGCTGGGAACCAGAGCTGCCACCAAACCTATCAGGAAGCCCAAGGGGCTTGGGAACAGTGGGAATTCCCCCACATGGGCCCTCAGGAGCAGCTCCACCAGGCTCGTACTGGCTTTGAACAAGCAACCCATACACTGATGAAGGGCACACTATGGTTGAGCCAGGCACTGCAGCCTCATGGACTCTTGGGATTCTGTCACTTCCCAGCCTGTGGCAGTGGTTGGCATAGTATGGCTTTCATTACATGGGTCACTGCCATCCAGCCACCTATGCCTGCAACATCCAGTACATTGGCTCTGGGCTATCTCCAGCACCTTCTTTTCCAGCATTTACCTCCCACCCAGGCTGCCGTCTGCTCACTGACAGGCATTTGTTTCATATTGCCTGGAGGAGGACTTCCAAGTGGCCTGTGTTGGGCATCCACATCCCCTGCCTGTCCTGGCTTGTGATTAGACTTTCTTCACACATCAGAGATCTGGGAGGTTCCTGTCTCAGGATGATCTTGTGCAGACCACAACACTGGAGGCAGCAGACATGGTATCTTGGGGACACCTGAGTATCTCCAGCTCTGAGGAGAAGTGTTGGCATCTTCATGACTACCTGGTGGACACCCTGGCCCCCTATGTAATTAATGTGACCAGGGTGACCACAGCCTCCAGTCACCAGTGGTGCAGTAGTCATGAGACCTGTGCCTCATGAGACCTAGGGCAGCTGGGAGCCTTTCTGTACCTGCAGCTAGATGGCATCCCTGCAGCTTGGGAGTTCTTCTGCTGCCGCTGTTACTAGTGCTGGGCAGGCTCCACCTGTCAGGAGCCCTGCCCCCAAGCTTGGGCTTGAAGAAATAGCATGAACCCAGGAGTCATCTGCTATAAGCCTCTTGACCCTGCTGCTGTTTCCCAATCCTTGAGGATTCTGTCCTATTCTTGTTCTACTTAGCTTAACCAGTCCTTATACAGATACCCAACTTTCCATGGGATCCCTGGAAAGTGGAAGGGGCCAGAAGAAAACATTTATACTTTTAAAACCAGAGGCCCTCTAAGATCACCTGATTCCTTCTAAAAAGTACTCCCAGGGAGAGAGACAGGGTTCCAGATGGTTAAGGTTGCCAATGCAGGGTTCTGTTTATGCACATCATTTGGTCCATGGAGAGGCAGAAAAAGATCTGTCCAAGGACAGGTGGGCCTTAAGATCTTGGCTAAGGTCTGTAAGTGCTAACTGTTGTCTGTAGTTTGCTTTCATCATAAAGTCACTTTTCCTCTCAAAATTTTTATTTACAGTTGAAATACAATATTACATTTGATTCAGGTGTACAACATAGTTCTTTGACATTTATATAACTTATGAAGTGATCATCCCAGTCAGTCTAGTACTCATCTCATCTGGTACCATATGTAGTTATTCCAATATTATATTAACTATATATCCCATGCTGTACTTACATCCCTGTGACTGTTTTTATAACTGGCAATATATACAATTTAATCCCTCCCCCTCTTTTCACCTATCTCCTCAATCCCCCTCCCATCTGGAAGCCATAAAAACTGCATGATTAACTTCTGAAGAGGTAAGGCTCACAGTGTATTCTTCCATCACAGGTATGTTGGATTTACCTCACAAAGCTCTGCTGGGGTCATACCAAGATAGCCAGAGCCAGTGCCAGGGCTTGCAGGCACAGCGAGATCCAGCAAGCAGAAATCCATGGTGAGTGTGCAGCAGGTGAATAAATAGAACCTCTAGAGAAGCATAGACTAATTGATGGCTGGGTGAGATAGTTAGAACCCAAGGTAACTAAATAGAATGTACCTGATCCTGTTTCATGCCCCTGATTTTTATGTCCCATTTCAAATATCATGTTCTCAATAAGCCTTTCCCCATTCCCACTAATGATGCTCCCATTTGATACAGTAGGTCTGATTGCTTAGCACTATAAAAGTCAATTCTGGGGGATTTTCTCCCTTTTAGCTGTAAAAGTAGTGAGAGCTCTTGCCCATTTTGGCAAGTGTTTAGACATTATGCCTGGCCCATCACCAAAGAATTGAATGGGGGTGGAAAATTACCTGAGAGCAGGATTGGACAGACTCACAGGAAGATCTCCCTGGTTGGTCTTTTGGTCAAATTGTGGGCAGGGCCTTGGAAAGGAGAGGTTTAGGTCTCAGTCTCTGTTTAAATGCAGGCAACTGTCTCCAGGAAATCAGCATTGGTGAAGGCTGACAAGGAACAGTGAGTGAACCTGACCCTGGCATCTCTCTACCCTGGAAGGTGCTGTGAATAGGACATTTTTGAAGCTGCAGAGATGGGAGTTGAATATTGGAGAAACACCCTGCTGCTGCTGTCTGCCCTGATCCTGGCAGCCAAATTTCAAAGGTGGGGAGGCTTCCAGGAGAAGTCCGTGAGCAAGAAAAACATGAATTCAACACTAAAATTCTTCATTGAAAACTACAACAATGTGAGCAATGACATGTACTTATTTCAAATAGACAAGCTACTTCAAAGTCATATGCAGGTTTGTACCTCAGTTTCTCTGAATATGAGCAGTGCCTAATTATTGCCCATTTGGACATGCATAGATGTATTGCGGCCTACAGAGAAAGCCAAGCAATAGTTTCACCCTCTGGGGAGTGTCTTCACTTGGAATGGGAGGGCTTTAGAGTGGTTAAGATCCCTAAGTTTCTTTGACTATCTTCCAGAATGCTAGCTGAAGGAAGTCTGTTACTCTTAGTCTAAAGCAAAAATGTTCCCTGAGCTTCTCTTGTGGAAAGAGTTGCTTTCATTTTGAAGTGAGGTCCTACCAAAGTAAAAGAAAATGGAGATGATTCTGTTTCCTTTAAAAAAATTACAGTTGATATACAATATTATTTTAGTTTCAGGTGCACAGTCCTGCAATTAGACTTTTCTGGGTTTTTTTGTTTGTTTATTATTATTTTTATTGTCATTCAAGTACAGTTGTCTCCATTCCCCACGCCCACCATTACCCTCTGCCCCACCCATACCCCCCTCTTACCCTTGATCCTACCCTTTTTGGCTTTGCCATGTGTCCTTTATACATGTTTCTTGATGGACCTTCCCCTCCCGCCCCCATTATCCATCTCCCCCTTCCCCCTCAGGTTACTGTCAGCTTTTTCTTTATTTCAATGAAGTGACCAACTGATAAATCTAGATTCATCTGACACCATACATAGTTAAGACAACATTTGACTACATTCCCTGTGCTGTAATAAATCTACATTCCCATGACTATTATTCTATAACTATCAATTTGTACTTTTAAATCCCTTTACCTCCTTCACCCATTTCCCCAATCTTTTGCCCATCTGGCCTTCAACAAAATGTTCTCTGTATCTATGAGTCTTTTTCTGCTCTGCTTGTTTATTTATATATTTATTTTTAGGTTCCACACGTAAGTGAAATCATATGGCATTTTTTCCTCTGTCTGAACCATTTCATTTAGTATAGTACCTTCTAGGTCCATTCACATTGTTGCAAAGTGCAAGATTTAATTCTTTTTTATGACTGAATCATATTCCATTATATATAATGGAATATGGTATATATGTATATATATGGTGCATGTGTGTATGTGTGTATATATATATATAATATATATAATGTCTTTTTTTGCATTCATCTAAATGGACACCTAGATTGTTTCCATATCTTGACTATTGTAAATAATGCTGCAATACACATATGGATGTATATTCCTTTTCAATTTAGTGTTTTGGGTTTCTTCCGGTAAATACTCAAAGTAGAGTTGCTGGGTCCTTATTTTCTCTTGCTATAACCATTGTTTTAAAGTGTATTTTGTTTGGTTTAAGTATTACTCCTCAGCCCTTTTTGTTTTGTTTTGTTTCCAATTTTATGAAATATCTTTTTCCTTCTTTTCACTTTCAGTCTATGTGTCTTTTGATTTGAAGTGAATTCCCGACACACATATTGCATATGTAAAGGTCTTGTTTTGTTATCCATTGAGTAACCATGCATCTTTTGATTGGAAAATTTAATGTTTGCATTTAAAGTAACTTGATAATATATATTTAATGTCATTTTATTATTGATATTTTAAATATTTTTCTCTTTTTCTTCTTAAAGAAGATCCTATAACTTTTCTTGTAATACTGGTTTGGTGGTGGTATTTAGCTTTTGTTTTTTCCTCTGGGAAGCTCTTATCTGTCCTTCAATTTCACATGATAGCTTTTCTGGGTGGAGTAATCTTGGTTGTAGTTCTTTGCTTTTTCCTTTGAATATTTTGTGCCAATCCCTTCTGGCCTGCAAAGTTTCTGTTGCTAAATAACATAACAGTCTTATGGGAGCTCCCATGTAGGTAATTAACTGCTTTTCTTTTGCTGCTTCTAAGATTCTCGGTGTCTTTAACTTTTGACATTTTAATTATGATGTTTTTTGGTGTGGGACTCTCTGGATTCATCTTATGTAGTACTCTCTGTTTTCTGATTTGTATGCCTATTTCCTTTACTGAGTTGGGGAAGTTTTCCATTATCATGTTTTAAAATAGTTTTTGATTTCTTGCTGTTTCTCTTCTCCTGGCACCCCTAAGATGCAAAAGTTGGTATGCTTGAAGTTGTTCCAAGGGCTCCTTACACTATCCTTAATCTTTGGGGTTCTTTCTTTTTTCTTTTTGCTGTTCTTATTTGGCTGTCTTTTGCTTTCTTATAGGCCACATTGCTGATTTAATACTCTGCTTCATCTACTCTACTGTTATATTCCTCTAATTTATTCATTTCATTGAGTGCATTCTTCACTTCTAGTTATTTTTAATGGTTTTCCTTTCCTTTTTAATGCTGTTTAAGTTCTCACTAAGTTTCTTCAGAATCCTTATTCATTTTTCAAAAATTTATTTTTCCAGAAATTCATGCTGCTCTTTAATTTGGGCTGTTTCTTTGTGTCCTCATTTTTTGTTTCTTCCCTGTGTTTTTTTTTTTTTGTATTAGGTCAAACTGCAATGTCTCTGGGATTTGGTAGAGTGGCCTAATGTAGGAGGTGTCTCATAGGGTCCAGTGGAACAGCCTCCCCAGTCACTTGAGCTGGGTGTACTGTGTGCACCCTGTGTGGGCTGTGTGCACTGTCTTGTAGTTGAGCCTTGATTGCCATCGGCATGTCACTGGGAGTGACTGACCCCCAGGTCAATCAGCTGCAAGTACCAGCTGTAATTACAGTGGAGGAGCTGCTGTGTGGGGGCCAACCCCACAGATCAGGATTTTCTTCAGTGGGTCTTTGGTGCGTTCCAAATCTGACCTTTGTGTCATTTGTAAAGGTGGTTGGGTTGTAACCACCTGTAAATGCGGTTGGGTCTAAAGCTGTCTACCCAGTGCATTGGCTCTGGGGATTCCCAGGTGGAGCAAGGTCAGCTGCTACCTATGCTCTGCCTGGGGCCACCCAGTGTAAGCCACAGAGTGATCTGCAGATAGCTGCTATTTGTGCTGAGTTTGGGGCCACTTAGCAGATGTATGTGGTCCACAGTGACCAGATACTGCTTTACTTGTGAGATTTTAGGAAAGTCTGAAGCATGAACCAAGAGAGGCCATTTGTATGGAAAAGCCACTGGAAACAGCTTTGGTGGGCCCAAAAATTAAGTAGGACAAGGTCTTAGGGAACCACCAGTGTTAGCCAGGTTGATGGTGACTCAGGTATGATGTTCATCTGCAGGCTCTGTGTGGGGAGGTCTCAGCAAAGGAACAATGGAATCTTCCAGTACTTTTTCAAAACATTATTTATTTATTTGTTTGTTTATTTAAGACAGGTGAAGGGAGGGGGAAAGACAGGGAGAGAAGTGTCAGTATGTGGTTGCCTCATGCATCCTCTAACCAAGGACCTGGCCTGCAACCTAGGCATATGTTCTTGCCTGGGAATTGAACCAATGACCCTTTGGTTTGCATGCCAGTGCTCAATCCACTGAGCCACACCAGCCAGGGCTCTGCCAGTACTTTTGTGTAGCAAAAACCTGCCCTTCTAGTCCTAATTCTAAAACCAGACAATTCAGTTCTTCCCTGTATGTTCCTGGTGCCTTTCAAGCTGCTACCCCAGTTTGGAAGCTCTGAGCAAGTGAGTTCTTATAAGCCTTCATGGGCCCTTTAAGAAGAATGCCTGGGACTCTAGAATCCCTCCATCTCCCTCAGACAAAATCCCTGCTGGTTTTCACAGTAAGAAGTTCACAGGGGACTTCTCTTCCTGGCACTGAAACTCTGGGCTGGGGAGACTGGTGTGGAGCTGGGACGCCTGGCTCCTCAAGGGGATCTCTGCAGCCAAGATTTTTAACTGCAACACATGGGTGTGGCACCAGTCCATTTTGCACCTCCGCCCCTCTTACAAGTCTTGATGTGGCTTCTTCTTTATATATTTAGTTATAGGACTTCTGTCTAGCTAGATTTCAGGCATTCTGAATAATAATTGTTCTGTAATTTAGTTGTAACTTTGATGTAATTGTGGGAAGTTTCGAGTACCTGCACCACCATATTGACCAGAACATTTTTAAAGATTTTATTTATTTATTTTAGACAGGGGAAAGGAGGGAGGAAGGGAGGGACAGAAACATCAATGTGTGGGTGGCTTTTACATGCCCCCACTGCCCACCCAACCAAGGACCTGGCCTGCAACCCAGGCATGTGCCCTGAACTGAGAATCAAACCAGTGACCCTTCAGTTTGTAGGCCAGCACTCGATCCACTGAGCCACACCAGCCAGGAAAGTTTTTGTTTTCTTTAACAGCCTGAAATATATAATGTTCTCTGTAGGTTCCTCTCAACAATAATATTTCAATGTCCAGGGTTAGAAAATCTAAGTCTGGAGTTTCTAGCTTTGTTCTACAGAAACCTGGAATTATACAGAGGGTTTTTGGCAGGACAAAACTGCGGTGGGGAGGTAAGGGCTAGTCTTCAGTCAGATCATCTCATTTATTTTGTATATAACAGTTTTTGATATCTATTGAAGGATGATAGAGAAGGGAAAAGCTGTTTGAAACCCACTTTTTTTGTCCAACTTCCCCTAAAGGTCAGATAGGAATGTTAAAAACACAAATTTTAACTTTCATGGTTGAAAGTAAAAAAATGCTAGCCAAAATGGAAATGCAATCTTGGGATATGAATTCTAATCCACCAGCAGATGGCTTGGTGGAAAAAACAGATATATCTCTTGTTTTGGAGTTTGCAAGCACTTTTACATATCAAGTGAGATGTACACCTTCTGAAAGAATTTCCATTAGCTATAGGCTATTATTGTGTTGGCTTTGTCATTTTTAAATTTGGATTAAGTCCACAAGACAGGCCTCCTTGGGTTGTCAGTTTATACTTGGAAAGACTAGAACAAGGGAAAAGAGGTCAGTTACCCTGACTAAATGTTAGGTATTGCACTAATCAACAAAAGGAACAAGCAAGAAAACTATAAGGAGAAACACTGAAATAAACAACAAACTAACAGTAACCAGAGGGGAGGGGAGAGAGGGTTAATAGGGGAAAATAGCAGAAGGTCCATCAAGGAACATGTATAAAGGACACATGGACAAAGCCAAAGGGGGTTGTGTCAAAGGTGGGAGGCAGGGGTGAGTGGGGTGGGGTGCCGTGGTGGGGTGAAAATGGAGACAATTGTACTTGAACAACAATAATAATTTTTTTTTTTTTAAATCTGGCAGCACACTAGGCTGCTTCTTGTGTCACACTGGTTGAAAACTGCTGGACTAGAAAAGGGCAATGGTAACGAGAGAGAACTGCCAGGGCAGGGGTCATAGAGGAGTGGGCAGTATTAATGAGACATAAATGAATAGGCATCATATTCACAATGCAGGTTGGCATTAGTGAGTTCTTTCTCAGTAAGAACTTGCCACAAAATGACAGCTCAAGGCTGAGAACATTGAGGTGAATTGGCCACAAGGTGGCAGCACTTGACCAAAATTATTGTGGAAGCTGCCTTGTTCTAATCTCAAGTATAAACTGACAACCCTAGGAGGCCTGTCTTGTGTACCCAATCCAGTGTCATTAACAGTTACCTCTGGAATAGTTGTTTGCAGGTAAACTTTTGATATCATTCAAATGAATTAACTGACAGAATAAATATACCCCCTGGCAGCTAGGTGATCTGGACAAAGATTCTTGGGCATCCCCACACCTACGACAGCATGACTGTGTTTGTACTAATATTCTATAGTGGGATATAGGAGTTGGGCATCTTCTGGGTTTGACATCCAGATTATTCTAATTGTGGGATTTTGGTCAAGTGCCATTCATATTTTTCAGGCCTCAGTTTCCTCATCTGTAAAGTAGTCAGGATAAGAGTGAAGCCGTACTTATGAATTATTGTGCTTATTTCTATTGTTATTTAACAGTCAAGTCTAATAATGAATAAGAAAACACTACAATCACTAGAATGTTAGTTAAATTAATGGCTAGTGTTTTAATTTCTTTATACATACAGAATGTCAGTGTGACAGTGTTTGGCTTAAGCCTTATAAGATCCCAAAGCCTGGATAGAAGTGTCCCTTGATAAATAACTCAGGAGCCCTGTTTCGTGTTTTTTGTTGTTGTTGTTGGATGCAGGGACCAGGATGGTGGCACTACCCTCAGGCCTCCTCCCCCAGCCATACTGTACACCTTGAGGTTTTTTAGGGGGCATTGTCCTCCCAGATGCACTGTGAGCAGTCTCTCCCTCTATCACCACTTCAGAGAGCACAAGCCTTTATATGTTATTTGGCCACTGCATTTGGACAAAGAAGCACTTCAAGGAGATTCTCTTGTCACCAGGCAGAACTCTCTAGTCCACACAGTTATTGGAAATCCAGTCCAGTTTCCAACACAAACCATTTGTTAGTTTTACTTCTGGGTGTGGAAGTTTCCTGCCACCAAGGGTTTTCCCAGTCTTCTGCCCTCACATCATCAGATCTTGCACTGGAACATGAGTACAGGAAGACAAATCACAAGAAGTAGCTCCGGTATGCATTCTTCATGTTTTACATATTCACTATTTGTATACATCATGGGAGGAAACTGGCACTATTTTCTTCATTTTCTAGATGAGGAAAGTGAGACCCCGGTAGGTAGAAAGACCTGCCCAGGGTGATAGACCTGCCCAGGGTGATAGAGTAAAGCCAAAACTTGAACACAGTTGTTTTGTCTTTTGTTTTGACACTCTCCCAGTTCCCTTGCTGCTTCAGAGTAATGTTTCTGATACGTGCTGAAATATTTAATAATTTGTGATTACTTATTTACTTTGAAATATATTTTGTGCTTTCAGTGAAATACGTGCTTCTCTTAGCCCATGTAATAACTTCTAGAACAGGATTATCTATACTCTGCAAGTGGGGAAACCAAGGCTGCTAGGCACTTGCTCAAGGTCACAGCATTAGTGTATGAGGAACACGTGCTCCAAATCAGTTCACTATCTAAGCTTATATTTTGAGCTGTGTTTCTCACTGCCTCCCACTGGGTTGGTTGGAAAGGAGAGTAGGAAGGACGGACATGGGTGAAGGGACCGGTGGAGCAGAGGGGAAAGACACTGCTGGCTGTATGCATTGTGAGGACTATGTGTACAGATCTGGGGGTGCTCTGGCACTACCAGGCAGCCAAGCTTAATGTGTTGCTTCTCTTCTTGAGGATGCACAAGGGACAGGTGAGACCCATTTGTGGCTGCATCAGCGGAACCAGTGCAAAGGAATGGTTTGTGCATATGTTGGGCACTGACAGAGGCCTTGGTGCCACTGCACACCTTCCAGCAAGAGGCAGAGGAGAGAGCCATGCTTTAGTGGATGAACCAGACACAAGGACTGTGGCTCCTGAGGCTTCACTCTCCATCTTAGCTTTTCCTGAAGAGATCCAGCAACTGGATGCTTTGAGTCAGAACTGACAGTGCTATTGGTTTTTGGTAGCTGACAACAGGAGTGGAGTATCTGGTCACCGTGAAGATTAGCCGGACCAAGTGCAGGAAGAACAGCACAAAAAGTCGTTCATGCCCCATTCAAAGCGGGAAGAATTTGAAAAAGGTGTGTGGTGGTAGTCATCTGAGAAGGGATTCCTAATCAAGGGGAAAAACTAAAACATTTAAAAGTTAACACAAATTGGACATGGACAGCTTCTCCATCTGTATGGGTTGGAGCAGAGCAAGACCACAGTCCTAGGGCTGCTGATGCCATCTGAGGTGCTAGGGTAGGAGGAAGCCTCTCTAATTGGACAGTTCCCCCACCTCTAGGCTAGCACAGGCTGGTCCCAGGCCTCGAGATCTCCTTGCCCAGTACTGGCCTTCAGTGGAAGCAGCATTTTCTTTCCTTGGAGACCTCGTTCTGATCGTGACTTGTACTCTCAAAGTCCCTGAGGATTGTCTCATTGCTTCCTTGTCTACCAGAATCTGGCCATTCTTTTCCTAGTTTCTCTTGGTGGCACCACCTTAGGGCAAATATGTGGCTCTCCCTATTCTTGGGTGCAAGTGTAGGAGGACTGGGGCTCTTAAGATATGTCTGCTTCAAGTCCCAAGTAGCTGGGCAGAGGGAGCCCAAGGTGATATTCCTGTTTTGGGCCTGGCACCCCCTTTGCTGCCACCACATGATTGTGAGCAGACTCTCCCCACCCACATTGTCAGTGTGCAGGTTCAATGATGGTTCTAAACTCCTCAGTGAGGGCCTCAGGGGGTCAGGAACTTTTCGTTTACCCTCAAAAAATATCCTCCTGAAAGCTGAATTTGACTTTCTCCTTCCACAGAGTTTCATTTGCAATTTTTTGATGTACACTGTACCCTGGATGAACTATTACCAACTTTGGAACAACTCCTGTCTGGAGGCCTAAATATGTTCGTGCAAAAATCCTTGATGAAACCTTAGATGGGTGTGCTGTGCACTTTCTATTATAGACTTCTGGAAGTACGTCATTGCCCTCAGACAGATTTTGCAACACACACATTCACACTCTCACACTCACATACAAACACACACAAACACACAAATTCACATTCACTCACACTCTTACACTCACTCAGTGGTCTTTAGGGGGCTGGTTCAATTTGAGCAAGAAGGTTGTTAAGTCTCTGGGGGAATCTCATAATTGTTGCTACTTCAGCACATCCTGACCTCTGGCCTGAGCTTGGGGAAGCTCTGTTTCTTCCCCATGTACATACAACTCTGTGACTGACACATGTATTTTGAGTGTGTCCAAGGTCTTCATTACCAACCCCCCAGGATCAGCAATTCACTAGAAGGATTCCCAGGACTCAGCATAGAGTCCTACTAATAGCTGTGATTCATTGCTGTCATTCATTACATTGAAAAGACACAGAATAAGCTTGGCAAAAGGAGGAATTAGAGTGGAGAGATGAGCCTGGTGACTTTGTTTAAAATCCTGAATCATGCTGTTGGGTGGATGATGTTTATTCTCCATTGCTAATGTGCCATCCATGAAAGAGGAGACCATTAACATAGCATTCTTGATTTCTCCAATAATTTCTTTCCTGGAGGAATTAACCTAATTGGTCTAATTTGGAGGAAAATGTGGACATTATAGCCCAGGTCCTACTCCTTCCCACTGGGGGCACACATTTTTTTGGCAACTTTGGGAGAGTAATCTCTTTGTGAAGAGACCTGCTCTGGTCCAGTGTTGCTAATGCTGGGGCTGTAAGTCTAATTTTAGAGTTTTGTATTAGAAAGTGCAGTTGCCTATAAAAATAAGGCACATCTCCCAAGATCAACAAAGTCCTTATCAGCAACACGGGCCCCTTATCTTTTTTATTTACTTATTTATTTCTCAATGTTTTGTCAATATCTATTGTCTATTCAGTTAAGTAACTTAGAGCTTCTTTTCTACTCTGTTTCTTCTGCTTTTCTCTGTTTTGTTTTAAAATCTAAAGAATTTTAATTGATGTGAGGATTGGGTTGAAGTTCTGCTATCATGCAGATTATATAGGCTATAAAGCCAGGAATTATTCATGTCACCTCATTTGACCCCAAAACTGCCCTGGCCCAGAGGATCTTCAGATTATATTATTATGAACTGAAGAGTTTGTGGGGGAAAGTGGAATTATACACATTAAGAGAAGAGGTAAAAAAAAACATTTATTTTCCATACTGAGAATCACTGCTGTTACAGGATATTTTCACCTGTAGTGACCGTAGGGGTTTGCTCCAGGACATCTAGACATTGGTGCAATTTTTGTTTAGAATTTTGTACTTTTCAAACCAGGGAACAACAAACACTGAGAAAAAGCACTCAATTTGCTAAAAAACAAAAACAAAACAATATTTTAGAAAGATAACATGCAAAGTGAAAATTTTAAAGGGGAAAGGAGAGGAATAACACTGTGGGTGGGGAAAATGACACCACCTCACTTCCTATTCAGATATAGTTTGATCTTTATTTTGATTTTAATTACTTAATAGTATTGTGGCTGAGATCATCCCAGAAAATGTCCTCTATTTATATTTAAATTTAGAGATTATAAATAAAGTGTCTACCCCTCACATATTCACTGAGGCTTCATTCATTTATTCACCCATCCATGCATCCATCCATACTCTCACCCTTCTCCATCCTTATTTCCATCCTTCTAGCCTTCCTTTATTTTACCTTCTTTTCACCCAATCTACCCATCTTTCCTTCTTTCATCCCATTCTCATTTGTCCATCAATACACTCATTCATCACATCCTTTCCTTCCCTTGTCCCTACCCTCTTTCAAGATTTTCTTTTTCTTTTTCACTCCCCTCTTTACCCATGATGAAAAATCCCCATGATAATAAATAAATTTTACATATTATCATTTTTAGTGTCATTTTGTTCTCTTGCTCTTTATTGAAAAGTCCAGGGTGGGGAATGGGAGTGGTGATGGGAAACTTAACTATAGGAGTGGGTACAAGTAGGTTTATCATTGCAATACAAATAAATAATGAAACAATTAATAAATACAATAATAAGCTGTGTTTTACATACTCACAATTGTAAACCTATTTTTACCCACTCCCCTGTATTTACTTTTTTCTAAATTAAAAATCAGAGTACTAATTCTACCCACTAAATATGTCACATCAATAAGATCCTCTAATGTTACTGTACTGCTATCTTTAGTTACTTTTCCCATAGATTTACTGGTCTTCTCCAGAGAAGAATTATTCGTGAAGAAAGTGTGAAGGAGATCATGAGAACATGTTTCTATTCTGAGAACATTTAGGCCACTATATCTAGGCTTGTCATATAAATTATGAACCAGGACATGTTGTAGTAAATGGGGATAACATTAATGATGTCACTAAAAAGCTAGGTGTAAATCAGGAGTATTCCAGGCAGTGTGTGGCATATGGTCATCCTTATTTTAACTTATTTGGGTAAAGTGAAGTGATGTGCAGAGCATGTAGGCATTGAGACCTTCAAGGCCCCTATGCACATGGGCCCATCCTTACTGTGCACACTGCAGGCCTCTATGCATGATGGTCCAGCCAGCCTCCCTTGGATATAACAACACTGGGTGGGAATGAAGGTGTAGGGAATGAAGCCACAGTTGGGAGAGATGGCTCCTCAGCAGATCATACACATACAGGTTTGACCTCCCCTACCCATACCCACCCCTACCACCAGTTAAACTATCTCTGAACTCATTTTTCTGATTCCTCCTCCCTTTTTGTCTCAACACTCCTGGATGAAAGGAACAGAGGCCAGTAGCCCAGTGATTGTGTATTAACATCAGGCTGATAGTCAGATATTCATCTGGGCACACCAGCAAGGTCCCACTGGCTGCTAAAATATTGTTAATTAACTACTTCCCTGAACCCCAGAGTGTTTCACTGAAGCTCAGCCACTTAACTCCTCCCTCTAAATCCTATAAACCTCCCCATTATTTTTCCAGCAACAAAGGATCAGTGTCTGCCAGACAGGATCTGTGTCACTTCCACCTTCACTGTTCTGTATTGAGAAAGCAGGTGTTTGTTATCCTGCATTCTTTCTTAAGTAAGCTTAAATATATCCCCAACAATTCTACCTAGCATCATTCTAAAACCACAGAAAAAATATTAAAAATGAATTCTTTCTGAGTTAATGTGCTTTCACAAAGTACCTTGTAAAGCTCCCCTTCTTGAAAGGTGCAGTTTTTGGTCTCCAGCCTTTGACAAGTGGTCCGCTGCATCTCTAAGTTCATGTGATACTCCATGTGGTCCGTAATCTGTGGGAATAAAGTGACGAGGAGATAAAAGAATTTATTCTTCTTCTTCATAACTTCTGGGGGTGGGAAAAGTAAAGGATCCCATCCTGGACAAAATGATGGAGCTGTTCTTTAATTATCTGATTCTCTTACCTTCTTTTTCTACTAGAGGAGAAATCACTAGAAACCACTTCATGGACAAAGCCATTTATTAAAGAACCCAAATTATGCCAATTATTCTGGTATAGGATCTGTATACATTGTTTATAAAGAGATGGAGAGTGAATATTTAAGCTTTGCAAGCCCTGCCCTTAGTTACAAGTACTCAATTCTGCAATTGCAGTGTAAAAGCAGCCTCACATAATATGATACACATGGTGTGACTTGGAGCCTATGAAACAATTTAAAGAAGAAACAGCAGGCAGATTTGGCCCTTGGGCCACAATATACTGACCCCTCGTATTTAGCATCAATTAGGTGACTTAACTTTATCTCCTCCAGTGAATTTATGTTTCTCTTCAGATGCCCACTTCACACTAAAAGATGCTGAATGACATAGGAGTGGGCTTGCCACAGAGTGCCAGCAGTCCGCTGACATAAATGCATGATGAAGAGTGGGGAGAGGAACTCACTTACCAGCTTTTTGACCTTCAGGACTCGCACAATCCGGAAGCTGTACTTGTCATTACTTTCCCTGTTGAACTCGTTGGTCACGAACTGCATGGTGGCTATCACATAGGTTTCTGATGCAGGTACTTCTTGGACACTCATAAAGGTTTTCCTTTTTACTTGGTAACTGAGGGCCACCAGGGCTACCAGAATGACTAGTAGAAACTGTGGGGCCTTCCAGGGTCTGGCCATTGTCCCTCAGCTGTAAAAGAATAGGAAGAGCCCCCTCCACGTCCTGACAGGGGGCTATTGGTTCTCACTGATGGTTACTGTTCTGGCCAGATTTAAGCCAGTCTGTGTTGGATACCCACAGAGCTCCTCCCCCCGCCCTCTTCATTTGTAGCTGAACCTGATGAATGGGAGATTTTGAAATGGTTGGAAAGTTTACTTCCATTTCCTCTCATCTTGTTCATGTCTCACAGACTACACTCATGCAAACACCCATCTCTTTCCTCTTAGGGGTTGCTCTCTCAGCAACACCCCCTGCTTCTTCTGCTGTTCCAGCATTATTTGGGTGGAAGCCAGGCCAGGGGCCTTGGTTCACTGAACTCACCTCAACTAGCATTGTGAAAGGTCTAGAGTGACAGGAAGTGATATAGACATAGGGGACACTGGATCTTAGGGCAGTGGTCCATGAACAGGTGAGTGGGTGAATACCACCACATCCTCCCTGTCCTTTTGAACTTCCTTCTGATTTTTCTTGTCATCCTTCCCCACTTCTCTGGCTAACCAAGACATAAGCCTCCCTCAGGCACAAACCTTGGTCTCTTCTGCTGTGTTAATAATTCTTAACTTTGGGAGGTGCATGGGCCCCCTTGGAGAAACTGATATCCCCAGAAAACAGAGAATGTGTCTTGTATGGGGAACAGGCTCCATTTACAAATGTAGGCATGCTGTTGATGTATTTTCTCTTTCTACAGTCCCTTTAGATGGACTCAGCCATGCTGTTTGTCCCCTGCAACCTTTTATGGCACTCTCAGACAATACAGACAGCCTCA